TTAGTCACAGGTGTGTAGTGGTTACCATAGTGGATAGTGCAATTCTAAAGTACTTTTCAGTAAATATTTATGTGGTTTACCGGAAAGAAGCCATGTCACATAATGAAGAGGCAGGAAAATTGGCTGCAGAGTTGTGAATTACCCTATTTTGCCAAATGAATCAACTCAATAGGAGGGTCGCATTGTCTGTAGAGATTTTAAAAATAACAAAAGCTGACTAAAAGTCTGGTGTTATTATCATCATATGCTAACAATCCTAAGCAATGTTCAGTAATAAAGTTTTCCTCTCCTCCGGTGTGGACTGCACTGGTTCCTGCTGCCTTTTGTCCAGCAACTGCTCTCTACGATCCCTCAAGTGTGTGCAAGGACAAAGGAAAATCAAATGGCTTAGTGTCCGTGGTAGCCATTAGAGGGGTTCACAAGTACTTGGTTCTTCCTCTCCTTCCAGGCACACGATAAAATGTACTTTCCTACCCTTTGAACTCGTACAGCCCTGGGACTTGCCTGGACCTTCTGAGCAGCGGCTCTGCCAGCCAGGGCATGCTGGGCCGCGCTGCTCGCCCTTTGCCACGAGCCACGTTCCAGACAGTGGTTATTACGGTATCGTGGTTTCCGGAGAGGCGACCATGACCAGCTCCCAGTGAACATTAGTATGTGCAAGAAACAAACCTTTATTATTTTATGCCACTGAATTTGGGGGTTGTTACTGTAGGATCTAGTGTGCCTGATACAATATATCTTCTCATTTTCCTTAGAAATTTTAGTGGAAATGGAATCAGAGCTTAGAATGGAAAGCAAATAATGAAGTTGAAATTTCAAGAACTTATTCTACATAAATTCACCTTTAAGAATCTTGAGAGCAGAGAAATGATGAAGCATAGCAGCAATGAGCTGGCAGCCACCCTCCAATTCATTTAATGTAGCATGGTACTTAAGAGTGTATGGATTCTTCTTTTTTAATTTTTTAAAAAATTTATCTTTATTATTGAAAGTATTACAGATGTCCCCCTCCCATTTTTTCTTCTCCCCATTAATCCCCTCCACCCTGCATACACCCCATCCCCAGGTAGTGATAGATTCTGACAGAAAAATAAACAGAGGAACATAAAAGGTCACTGTAAAGCAAACATAAGACTCTTAAATATATAACTGATGCTCAGCTTTACTTATTCAATTAGGGTCAAACTAGGCTGTGCTGCCATAAGAACAAACACAACTAACACAGTAGCTTAACACAATAAAGTCTATTTCTGACTTGGGCAATCTGATAGGGGTTGAGCAGCTTTCTTCCATTTTCTCAGTATGCTATTTGGAGCACAGGCATACCAGCTCTTGACTGTCTTGGAGGGAAGTGACATCACTTCTGCTCCCACTCTATTGGCAAGAATTAGTCATAAGACCCCTACCTAAATGTATAAGGTACCAAAAAAACATAGTTTAGCTGTACATCCAGGAAAAAAACACCTATGGTGTACACATGGCTTTGCGTCTGCCACACGCAGAAGTGCAAAAATAAAACCAATACTGTAATTTTCCTGATCAGACTAGCAGAGCAGACTTTCTCTGCCAATACAGGTCATTTTAACACTGTCACTCTATTTCTAGGAACCTATCCTACAGATAAGCCAAGATATATGCAATTTTTTAAAATAAAGCAACAGATTAGAAAAAAAAACTTTTAAAAAAATTTTATTGGTTGATTTTTAGGGCAAGGAGAGAAACATTAATTTGTTGTCCCACTTATTCATTGGCGGCTTCTGTGCCCTGACTAGAGATTGAACCTGCAACCTTGGTATATTGGGATGATGCTCCAAGCGACTGAGCTACCCAGCCAGGGCCTGAAAAAAAATCTTAAATGTTCATCAGCAGAGGCTACATAAAACAAGTAACATCCATATTGATGGAATACCTTACAGTCGTAAGAATAAGGAAGCTCTTTATGAACCGATATAAAGATCAGAAATATGTAACTAAATGAAAGAAATCAACGTGTGAGATATCCTACCGTTTCAGTAAAAAAGAAAAAAAGATATTTGTTTATACATTTATGAAAGTATCTCCTGATGAAAAATTTTTAAAATTGCCTCCAGAAATGGAACTGGAGGGCAGGGAGACTTTCACTGTAGACCCTATTGTAACATTTGAGTTTTTAGCCATGTCCATGTACTACCTAATCAGAATTTAAGGTTATAGAGCAGGTATGAACCCAGAATGCCACTATCTGTATGACCTGATCAAGTTGCTTTATCTTTGTCTGTTTGCTCATCAGCAGTAAAAATTATTACCTACATCTTGTGGGGAAACCAACTGCTTTTTTTAATGTGTTGTGTTTTTTATTGATTTCAGAGAGGGAGATAGAAATATGAGAACCTACCGACTGCCTCTTGCACGCCCCCTACTGGTGAACCAAGTCCGCAACCCTGGCACGTGCCCTGACCAAGAATTAAACCATGACTACCTGATCCATGGGTCGACCCTCAATGACTGAGCCACCCGGCCAGGCAATTTCTAAAGAAAATTATAATAATCAGTTCATGTATATTTGAATCATGTGCCAATCTAGAAATATTAAAGCAAACAGCACAACTTGTGGGGCGGTCAGGGAAAGCTTCTAAAGTGACATTTAATACTTAGGTTTTCCCATCATAAAGGCATTAGAAATAGCCCTTGGCTTGTCTGAGGAAGGCTGGGATGAGATGGAATGAGGAGAGCAGGCCATTAAGTCACATGGTGGAAGTAGGAAGATCATGAAAGTTTTTTATAAGGACTTTCAGTATCAAGTACAGGAGAGACATGTTAAGACCTAACAGCTGCCTGCTGTACAGAGACAAAACTGTAGGGTCACAAGGTCAGGAGCAAGCCCTTCTTGGAGGTAGGTCTGAACCCTCCCTGCCCTTCCCTAATAAGGATCCTTCATAGTTTGAAAAAGACTTAAATGATTTTTTTCTAATTCATGCAAGGACTAAAGAACCAAGAGACAAAACTCCTAAAGAAGTACAACTTCATTTTCCCACAAATTCTTGACTTTCTGCCATCATGTGTTTTTTTTTAAATGTCTTAATATTGACTTGAGGGGGAGAAACATCAATGATCAGTCATTGATGGGCTGCCTCCTGCAAGCTCTCCAACAGGGGATCGAGCCAGCAAACCAGGCATGTGCCCTGACTGGGAACTGAACTGCAATCTACTGGATCATAAGTTGATGCTCAACCACTGAGCCAAGCCCGCCAGGTTCTGCGTTTTGATACCTTTCTGCAGGTTAGGTATTTGGTTTGCTCTAAAGCACATCAGTATTTAGATGACAAAAGATAACAGAAGGTCCATTTGTTTAACAGACATTTATTCCTTTAGTTGAACAACCTCTACACACAAAATAGATGGTTTGAGATTTTTGAGTGGAAAGGAATTTAAGGTCTTGAGAGGTTTTATGAGTCTGCTATGTTTTCTGGAAGTCATTTAACTGAGCCTTTTAAGACCCCTGGAGAAAAGAAAAACTGGTTAAAAAAAGAAAACCAGCAATCAGATTTTGGAGCCAAACTACCTATATTAAGTCAGCAAACCCAGAATTGGAAATTGGGGCCAATTTCCTACATGCTCAAATTCTCCCTGGGAAAGAGGCCTAGTCTACTAAAAGAGGCACACAGAATGTGGTGGTATGCTTTAACATCAAGGTGGGCACAACTGAAGGTCTGGAAAGTTTGTGGAATGGTTAAGGATTTTGAGGGTAGTTTGAGCAGGGATGAAAAAGAGAACTGTAGACAATGAATAAGGTTAAGACTAGAAACCATGAACTTGTACTGACACCAACTACATGACTTTTCTCAGAAGCCTTATGGGAATAATGGATACAGTGGGTTGACCCAAAATGATTTGTAAGACTGAATGGACTAACAACGAAGTACTCCTAAATGAAGCCAACCATATCCCCCCCTACAGTGGCTAGAGGGTTCATAATGGTACTAATTAGCACAACACACCTTAAATTCCCGTTTACTTCAGGTCTAATTTCAATACACACCAGTGTAATTCCATTACTACTTTGCATGAAATTCACTATTCTACAGATCCTAGGAGTCATGGGATTGAACCAGGAGTCTTCACAGTTTACGTGAATCGGTACTGTGGAGACCAAGCCAGTTTTAAGTAAACCAGGATGTTTAATTTTAAAAGAATCCTCTTGCAACAGATCATTCAATTCTCCTTAAAAAAGGTGTTATTCTTTTAAACTTTTCTCCCTTCAGAAGCAGTTATATTGGGTTAATCTTAAAATGTGAAACCTCTAGTTAATTTTCATTTTTCTGCAAAGGATCATGAAAATGGATCAGGGTATCTTGCATTTCCAAGCAAAATTCAATTTAAAAATGTTTATCCTTGCCAAATTAAAAAACAAAAAACAGGCCCTTGAGAGTAAACCAGCAGAGCATTGCATTACCCCAATAAAGCTGTGGTTTCATCACATGCACCAACAAATCTACTGGCTAATTCTGCACTCCTTTCACAGAATTTTACACCTATTATACCAAACAGCATTTTAACACTGACATAGAAAACACCCTAAGATAAAGCAGCGATTTTCAACCAGTATGCTGTGGCATACTGGTGTGCCACAATAATTTTTAAAACATGCAATATCTAACTATTTAGTCATGGGCACTAACCTCTTTTCCCCTTAGATTGTCCAACATAAAAATGACAACAGCCAACACAATAGCCATCCGGTGTGAATGAATCAAAATCATACTTTTTTTTGGTGAGACTGGCAACAAATATTTTTTGGTGTGCCGAAGAATTTTAGTAATTTGTGTGCTGAGATAAAAAAGGTTGAAAATCGCTGAGATAAAGCAAAGACAAAAGCGTTTATCTTATGAGAAACAGGATACACTATCACTTGTAGTCTTCAAACATTATTGCACTTTAAATTTCATAATCTGACAATGCATTCATGAAACAATCTGCAGACAACTAGCTTTAACAAATTAAAGAACACTTTTAAGCAGACATGACTGTCCTAAATTGTTTATTAGGTAAGAATTTTACAAACATTACTTATATTAGCGGTAACGGTGGAGCTGGAGAGTATTGCGCCTTCTCCAAGCTGCACGGCGAGAACCACCAATAGTGTGGTGGAACTTGTGGCCCTTTCCAAGGCCACGGCTCTTGCGGCCTGCAGATGTCAGCCCTCGCATCTCCCTGTGCTTGTGGACTGGCTTGGTGATCCATTGGGTGTCAGGATTCCTTCTGATAGCCTTATGGAATGGATCGATGAGGATAACCTCGAAGAATTTGTATGTGGAATCTTCACCAACCCAGTAAGAATTCAGGACTCTCAGAGCCCCACAGTGGCGTCCAGCTCGCTCCTGGAAGAGGAAAAAAGGTGAGCCTCCCACATTTCCCACAGTAGCAAATTAGGAACCAAGAATTCTCTTTAGTTCACCACTTGACAAATGACTAAGGTGTGACCATTGAATATGAAAAGGTAAACTTACTATTCCCTATTATTACCCCCTACCTAATGAATGGGGTTTGAGAATGCCTTTAAGGCATGAATGTTAAGGCTATCTGGCTAACAAAATTTAGGATTCTGGAACCTTGTCTTTGTTTCTAATACAATAGAGCGGGGCCAGCAAACTTTTATAGAAAAATCTTAACATTCAGCATATTTTAAAAATTGCAGGCCACAAAGGTCTCTTTTGCATAGCTTCTTTGCCTTTTATTTCGTTAATCCTCACTGAGGATATTTTTTCCATTGCTTTTTACAGTGGAAAGGGGAGGGGAGGCATCGATTGGTTGCCTCCCACACCTGGCAGGGATCAACCTATAACCCAAGTACATGCTCTTGACTGGCAATCAAACCTCCCACCCTTGACTGTGTAGGCTAACCACTGAGCCACACTGACCAGGGCAACCGTCGTCACCTTTTGAAAATGCACAGCTTCTATATACCTGGGGAGACGTCCTCTTCAAGACAAAAAGTTTACTGCCCTTCAAAAGCTAAGGTTCCAGTGTTCCCTAATCATAAAACACTTTTTGATATATATGAGCAAAGACAAATTAGTAACAAAGACAAAGTTTTGTCTTTGACAAAAACTCTTTACCAAGATTAATAAGTAAAACTCACAAACCCCACCTAAAACACAAAGGGCTCACCTGGGCATAAGTTAGCCATCAGAAAAGTTGCACAAATCCTTCTACATCATCTCCAGGAGGTAACCAATACAACTGCTTCTCAAAAACCACTTACCTCAGCAACAGACTGAAGACTTCGAGCAAACTTCAGCTGGTTAACACCATGATGGACAGGCTTGCCATAGGTCGCACCCTTAGGAACAGGGCGCTTGCGGCCACCACGGCGCACACGAATCCGATATATGACATAACCTATACACAAAAATTACGACGGTCTTATAAAAGCCACAAAAGGTAAAACTCAAAGACTCAATGACATGTCACTTTTGCTCCTACAATGAATGCATGCAGACCATAAGTCAATACTATATATCAGACGAAAGTAAAATCTAATACCAGTTTGCTACTTTGGTAAGTATTAACTATTCATTTCCACTCTATACTGTTAGTATGCTTTAGTCCAGACTCAAACTATAATCTGACCCACATGCTACATAACCGTGTGTGGTCATTTAACTGGTCCAACAGTTCACCGTGTTGATAGCTCAAAGCCCTATGTGAAAGGAAGACACTGGGGCAATAGCAGCTCTTCCTAACCACCGGTTTCTGTATTTTCCCGGGAACACAATTACATCCCAGCACCCAGGCAGACACCACTCACCTTGCTTGGCCTTGTACCCCAGCCTGCGCGCCTTGTCGGGCCGGGTGGGGCGGGGGGCCCTGTGCAGCGCAGAGAGCTGGCGGTACTGCCAGCAGCGCACCCTGAGGAGGAAGCGCATTACATCCGACTGCTTCTTCCTCCACAGCTCCTGGATGTACTTGTAAGCACCCATCTTGGCTTACCTTTGAGACAAAACCGAGTATTAAAAACAGCCTCCATTTAAAAGAAATGGAAAAACTCCGTCCGTCCATCTTAGTTCCCCACCGACCACAAGGAAACCACTGAGGATGAAAATGGCTCTGCACAAACTGCAGCGCACAGCTAGCCTAACCCCCCCTCGGCGCCCGCGGACAGCAGCGCGCAGCACCGTAGGAAGGCCCTCCGCACACAGCTCGACGAATGAATGGCGCTAGATTTGGGCCCCGAGGGGGCGGATCACTGCGGCAGGAGGCGTCCCCAAAGGCCCGGCCCCGTCAGCAAAGAGACCTCGCCGACAACACAGGGAAGACGTTGCCGCCGCCGATGTAAACTCTCTGAGAAAAAGCACTTACGCAAACCAACCGGCCAGGCTCGCTTTAGCAAGCCCTGGCCCTGCCTCCTATTCCTCCGCCCCACGCCTCCTTTTCCTTCGTGCTCAGGGCCCAGCTCGAATTCGCGCCGCCATCACATCATCCCCCCCACAACCCGCCCCGGGGGCCGCCTCTCCATAACCCCGCTGCCCCGCATCCTGATCAAACTCGCGCCGCACAGGAGGCAGGGAGACCTCCAAGGACGCAGCGTCCCCGAGCCTGGATGGCCCAAGCGAAGGGAGATCGGCGGCGGATGGAATAGCCAATAATCCCAACACGGCTTACCTGATGGCTGCGGCCAGACGGAAAGGAAGAGCCTTTCTCCCACAATCCCTTTTGGGCTCCTCCCCCCACTTCAGTGAAACTCTTTCCGGTAGAAAGCTGCGGCCGCCCAGAGCCTCATGGGACATGTAGTTCCGGCAGAGAGCCCGGTGGGCGGAGTTCCGTCGGGATTGGGCGCAGCCTTCCCTATTGTCCCGCCCCCCGCTTCTCTCGGCGATGGTCCCCGGCGAGGCTTCAGCCCGAGCGCGTCCTACACCCGCGGAGAGGGTTGGAGGCAAGTTGGGGGCGGGGCTCCAGTAGCTGAAACCTGCTTTGGAGCCTCGCAGCCAACGCAGCGCTCTATTCGGGGTCTGCGGAGGGCACAGGTATGTGTCATTTTGGTATGGGGGTCCGTCGCTCCACGCAGCGCGCGCTCCTCTCTGGAGGTGCCGCT